GATTAGCCATGAATGGAATACTGGCCTTCCCACCACAACAACTTTAGAAAAACACTGGTAGTGCTTCACCTGCAGAAAAATGCTGCGTTATTAAAACTCTGAAGGAATATTCCCCAACTACTGTAGTCTCTTGTACACTGCTTTAAATTCACGCAACAAATTTTTTGTAAATTTCACAAGTCCGGAAAAAGAATATTTCACTGTCATTTTAAAAACGAGGAGTAATAGCAACTTCGCAAATTTTTATTTTAGCAAGTGTTCAAATAGAACAAGATCATGAATATTTTTAGCAGAGCAAATTTTATGATTTACCATGCCCTATTTTGTGAAAAAAATTGTTATCACAAAATCTTCTACATTTTACGTCAAACAACGTTGAGCATTACATCTCCTACTTTTTTTTAAATGAACCTGACAATTCTTCAAAAAAAAAAAAGTTTATTTTTAGTGCTTAAGAGTGAAGGTTGTGAATTTCACTTTAAAAAAACATGCTTGTTTGTAAACAAAGAGCTTCTTCCTGTCTTTTATAATAATGCACATAAAAAACAACAACATGGCCACAAATGGCTCAAAAACTGGTCCACAAATACAGGAGTAAACTAGAAACACTCAACATTTACAATCAAATGCACTTGATGTACACAACTCCTACAGACAAAACTCACGAATAGAAACCTGAATTTAGCAGACTGGAAACTGAAATACTGCCCTTGTTCACAATGTAACGATATGCGCAGAGAAGGGATTAATTTAAAGCATCCACCATACAGACTGATTCAATAATAACGAACGCCTACTAAGCCAGTAGCAAACTGTGAAATCACCATTGCGAAAACCCACACACACACACCATACACACACACACAAAAGATTTGCAAAGTAATTATTTGGCAATACTTGTGTACTTAAATGTGTTGTATGCACGACTAATTAAGTATTACATAACTCGAATCACAAGAGATGAGAAGTGCTTTAGCATCACACACATTTGAATTCCAGTCATAATACAGATTGGAATTCCTAAGCAATATCACATAACGACTTAACAGTTCTAATACACAATAAATATTTTAATTCTTAACATACAAATATAATAAAGTGTATACAACCCACTGACAAAATAACTCTAACCCCTCCCCCCCCCCTCTCTTCAAAAAAAAAAGAGAGGGATGTTATTAACTTTTTGAAAGTGAACAAAAGAATGTGGTAAGTGCTTTATAATTCTACCAACAATAGTTGGAGGTCGTTATTCAGTGTGAATTACAAAACAATGATCAAAAACTCAATTAACAGTTGGGTAACAGTTAAGAGTCTTGTTCAAGGTTGAAAAACCAAGCCATTCTATTAAAAGCATAGGGGAAGAATTCGGGTGGTCTTGAATCAAGGGTGTCAATGTGCGTGCGTGGAAACCCTACAACCGTTAACACATTCATACTTCAATAATGCTGTCGTCGTCGTTGTCTTGAGGATCCAATGCTAGATGAATAAAAGCTGAGGCAATTTAGAATGATATTTGGACAAGACATTCCTGCCCGTAACAGTCCTAGCATTCAGCTCTATGCCTTGAAATGGAGTCTTTCAGTGACAGTAACCGGAGGCTCCACTGTAAGCAATTGGTGAATAGCCCTGGCAGCTACTCAGGTTTACATTACACCCTTCCCATGAAACTGCCCAGTAAACAAATCCTATACAGCTACCAACAAGGGAGGACACAGGCCCTAATACTAGTCTCACATTACCCAGAAAAAACAGGAGTAGTTCAGAGGGAGGCATCCATCAACAATAAAAGCCCTGATTTGCATTTATATCAAGAGGCCGGCAACAAGGTTTTGAATAGAACAAGTTGCCACAGTTCTTACAAGACACAGTGTTAGGAAAAGTGAAAGCTTGAAAGTCATTACGAACTCTTTAATTTTTAACACCTCATAGCAAGATAAAACATCACATTAGCAATTAGACCATTTTCTTCTTTACTGTGTAGTGTAAATGCCTGGCTACTTGTAAGCAAGCATTATCATGCAGAATTTTGTTAAGCGAAAAAAAAAAAAGGGAACTGCACAAGTATGTGAAAATGTTGTTTGTTCTGGGTTTGTTCAGCCAGCAAGCAGAATCTCAAGTCGCTACACACTTTAAAGTGTTTGTACATGGAGGAAAAACGGCAAAGGAAGCCCTTTACACATCACCATAGCTGATATGCAAATACCAATGTCCTTGCTTGATGTAATTCAACCATGAAGACTCGGGGAAAGAAAAAAAAAAAAAGCAATTTGAGTCAGACCCACAGCTTCCTCACTCCTTAGGCGTGTTGTTGTTCTGACCTCGTGGTACATGAATCAGAATTAATTTTTTTTTCAGAAAATAAAAAACAGCATTATAAAATTGATTTGAAAAATAAAAAAAAAAAAACTAAAACTTCCACTTGTCATACCGAATACTATTGAAACGAATTAACAATTTTGTTCGTCCACCCAATTTTTTTTTTCAAAGCTAAGGCTGTTCGTGTGAAAAAATAAATGACATTGCTTAGTGAGATAAAGCAACAATAAAGTCATCCCAGGAAATAATCAGCAAATCCAGTGACTATTTTGAGTGGAGTTTGAGGTTCATCCCAGGGGAACCTCCACTATCTACCCCCCATTGTGAGGCGGTCTTATTACAGAGCATTATTTTCTACATGTGCTAACATACTCTGACAATTATAGCTTTGGCCAAGCTTCGCTATGAGATTATCAGTCTAGTATGGCTTCTCAGTCAGTTTTGTACCAAATTCAATTTTTTAAAATGTCATTTTTAATTTGCGTCTGAATCTCGGGTAAAAGGTATCAAGTAGGAAAGATAGCGTAATCCCTTGACACAAACCTCCTAAATAAAAGCCTACAACACAATATGTTGTGTCCACAATATCAAATTCCCCTTCAAAATTTACAATTCTTTGAGTCAAACAGGGATTTATCAGCTACATATTTTTTTTTTTTTTTTCACACACAATATTCAAATTGTGCAATATTTGCTTTTCAGGCAGCCATCTTGACTCAGCGAATTTCTCTTTAATCTTAACAATGACAAATTTTGGGGAAAAAAGTGTTGAATATAACAAGCTTTCATGATGCTTGAGGACATTATTATTTTTCACATTGGTTTTACGACCAGCATAAATCATGATTTGCCAAGCTAATTATAACTCATTATATAATAGTCAATAGTGAAGTGAACATGGAACACTGCTTTACAATTCTAGTCTCTAGTCTCCAAAAAAAAAATGTGACCTCTTAGAAAATTCAGCCACGAGATTAACAATATTTACAGACCATCTATTGAATTTAAAATGACTGATATGCATAATTTATTTATTAACAATTCGAATCACAAATTGACAACCACTGAATATCGGTAACATCATCAAAGTACGTCATTTCAGCTTTTAAAATCACCCAAGAAAAGAAAAAAGACAAAGTATCATACCAAAATGTAAAGTGATGTATAATAAACACAAATGTAATTTGTTTTTAAATCACTGATGAGTAATGCAAGCGCTTCCATCAACACAGATACGTAATAACATTAGAGTTAAAACTCAAGTTTATGAAAAGATAACAACCATAAATTCATTTCAAATTGCATTTCTCGATAAAATCTTAGTGCGTCATTTAGAATAATTAGGTATTTTTCTACAAGTTTTTTATAATTTTTTGACTAAATGTACACTATTTTTAATTCGTTATACATCTTGATCAAGATTTTCGAAAAAATATGAACAATTATGCAGGTTTAGTTTTGGAAAATTGACTTTTCTCGATTAAGGCTTATAGATTTGTCGAGGGAAGTCAACAATTCAATAAAACTACAGTTGGGTGATATTTGAGAGATCACAAAAACTCCAACTGCTATAACAGTAATTTACAACTAATCAAAATAAAATTTAAACCATCCAGCAGATCAGATGGTTTCGGAATGATCCAATTTTAAAAAGAATGGTATTTTTGAAATAAATCCGATATTAACCAGCATGTTCATAGCAGTGTGCGTATTAAAGATCAGATCACTCCAAGCACAGCATTTCTCCTAAAATAACACATGTATATATCTAACTACCATGCTGTGGTATTATGTCTGGTTCTCCCTGGGAATGGACGGAGATCTCCGGAAAGTGAAGCAATACCGTACGAGTTTCATAGTGTCTACGAGCATATCAAACATGTTCAGACACCCTGTATCTATTTCTTGGCATCTTCAAATACAAATTTGAAATATACTGCACAATATCGCATTTTAAGCTCCAGGTTATCAGGCTAACACTACTTGCAATTTGCCACAAAATTATTATTAAAAAAGGACAACAATTTTCAGCTTGCGGCACACTTAGAATAATGGTAATTGGGCAACAAAATGCTTGAAAATTACGCTGAATATTTTTTGTACTGTATCAATAGGGAATGGGGCTGATTCTGTACAATAACAAGGATCTTGATATACGTCAGCTACAACACTTTCATTCAAGTCCCAGTTGTGCACAATTCAAATATATTTAGAGAAATCCAGTAGCATGTAGTTTACTACTCCTTTAACGCGAAAATTCAATGAATTTCTGCGAGAATGCTGGGTATATATTTCAGTAATGAACCATAATACTTTTACCATACTTTTCAAATCAAACCAAATCCATCGTATCCCAATTGTTTTTTAATTCGCAATTAGCATACTCCTATGTTTTAGCTACCCATGAGCAAAGGTCTCGTCACCCTACTTATACCATCATGACAAATATAAACTTTTTTTGACGTTACACAACAATAAAAATTTTATTACAACAGACGCTATAAAAATGGCTACAGAACACTGAGAAATGTACTCTAACCTACAATACATTTCTAACATAAAAATAGTCCGGACACTGAATATTTAACAATCTGGAAATTGTCATTGATGGTAATAATAATAGTTACCAATTCTTTTTGTTCGGTTTTCTATCCTAGGAAAGCGTTTTTTTTTTACAGTCTAACTCTGAACAGTAAATAAAACCATGTTCCCCAGATTTAAACTAGTAAACAGAATGCAATGGTCTGATTGGCTTGTTTATTGTACATTATACTATCATATCTACCTGGGTATAGCAAGTAACCAACGATTAGTTGAAAGGTGTGCAATATGATTGATAATAACTTTGCAACTTGCTCCAAACTAATGTGGAACTATACAGAGATTTAGTGAAGGGGAAAATGAATGATGTGGCCAACCTTGCCCACAAGTAAATATTATATACTCGCATTCAGTCGAGAACTGTGGCGCAAAATATTAACATTCATTTTAAATGCATATAACAATTGGTTTATCAATACGCTATCGAAATCTAAAATATGACAACCTGAGGTCCAATGACAGCTTCCAAAGGTAATATCCCAGAATGCAATGGACATGTTACCTTAGTTACCAAGGTTTTTAGATATGATAGTACAATGTTTTAAACAGGCTATACAAGAAAACAGCAAAGATACAATTTCCATTAAAGACATTTAGTATTCATAAAAACTTATCTCAAGAAGTGTCGTATATACAATATGCAGAGCACATTTGGCAATTATTTTTTGGGAGTGAAGACGGCAGACATTCAACAGGAAATCCACCCAGCTACTTTACAAAGCGAATAATACATCTCTACAAGTTGAAAATATCTTCTTGGACGGGGCAGCGGCGAATATGTCCACGATTGCTGCGTACATAACTGCCCTCCCCAATATATATATATATATGAAATGTACAATGCACTGCCAATGGCTCTTGCACATCCAACCAAGTATCATAAACTTTGTTTAAAAATAATCAATCAAAAATGCTGAACATGGACAAATGTACAAAATTAGCACGGTAATTTTTTTTTCATAATGTGAAGACATATAATGTGAAGATAGTGTAATTTTAGGACAGGACATGAACTAGGCAAGGGGGTTTGTACAAACACAGTGAGTGAGAGGAGCTGGATATTGAGTCTAATATATACTATTAGGTTACAAGACGGCCAAATAACACAACATTATCGGTTACCCTGCCATGCCAAATTAATGGGGTCTGTAGAATGAATGTCCTTTGTTGATAGAACGGTTTTCTCTTTCAGACCGATCACTTGATTCCCTCCCTCCCCCTTGTTTGGACACAGCTATGCTTTCGGCGTGTAGATTTCACCATTGAGCGTAGTTGATTTATAAATTCACAAGCGACAAAAAAGTCTTCTTTTTATGTACATAACTAGTATCGACTAGGCAGAGTTACGATGTCAAAGTTCATATACGCCGCAGATTGGGGATATGTCGGCTGTCCCAACTGACTTTTTCTCCGTACTGTAAATGTAAATATGGGGACAACAAGAAACATATTTGGAGATCAGCCATGCAAAAGAATTGGCCACCTTCTAGCAAAATTACTAGACATTCATGGATTTAAACATCATCAGAAAATTAGTTTGTGTATATATAAAAAAAACTTTCTACGTCTAAAAATGTAAAATAGCTCACAATGGATACAACTTTTGCAGGGCTGACCAACTTAGTTAAATAACCAGACTTTAAAAATTAAAAAAAAAAAAATATTGGTACATAAAAGTTTATGAAACTGGGTATTAAATAAAATACTATTAAAAGGAAAAACAACTTATATTTTTTTTAAGTACATTATTCCAGTTTTCTATAGGGGGTTGTATAACAATTATTCATGGTGATGTTTTTTTGTTTTTCCGACAAATGTATGAAAACATGGGAAAAAAAGCTGTCAACGCAACTTTTGCATGGTTTCATTTTCATATATCGTCAAAAGACATCACCCATAACCCCCCTCCCTCCCAGATTCAGCCCTACCTGGTGTCTGTCAGTCACACCGTTGTCTCGTCTCGGCCACGACTTACTAACCTTAGATAAAAACGTCGCCACGAGCTGATAGTTTTTCCAGACCAGATCCAAAACCCGCTTGTAATACCCACTATGAGAAGCATTAGGTACTTGATCATAAATACAGTAAAGTCTGGTGTGACTAGTCCTTCTAGTGGTGCTGGACCCGCCCCATAAGGGCAAGAAAAATGCATGGGTATACATCGATCAACTTGCCAGGTGTATTCCCACAAGCTCCTGTTGGCTTGTTCATAGAAAAAACATGCAATTACTATCGTGGCAGGAACTGTGTATAAAACTGAAAAAATACCAATTCGGATCATCAGCTTTTCTAGTTTATCAGTTTTTGTGCCATCGTGCTTCTGTTTCATAAAGGTCCGAATACGGTAAAGGGCAACAAATCCAGCCAGGAGAAATGATGTTCCTATCAACAGGTACAGAAATAATGGAGCAAGGACAAAACCACGAAGAGCGTCAACATCTGTAATTCCAACGAAACACACTCCGGACAGGGCATCGCCGTCTACTTCGCCCATTGCTAGAATGGCTATTGTTTTTACGGCAGGAACTGACCAAGCAGCTAAATGAAAATACTGCGAGTTTGCTTCAATCGCTTCATGTCCCCATTTCATACCTGCCGCCAAAAACCAGGTTAAACTCAGGATGACCCACCAGATCGACGAAGCCATAGTGAAAAAATATAAAATCATAAACAAAATTGTACATCCTTCTTTCTTGGTGCCTTGCACAGCAGTCGACCAACCCACAGCTTCGCTATAAGGTGGATTGCATGATATTTCAGTTCCAATTACATATGCGACAAAGCCAACAACGTAGGTGACGGCGACCATGAAGTAGCAAGCTGATAAAAATATAATGGGTCTCTCCGGATATCGGAATCGGGGCATGTCGATGAGAAACGTTGAGACGGTGAATAGGGTGGAAGCTGCACATAATATCGACCAAATACCAATCCATATGCGAGCAAATTCCAACTGTGCCCCCGAGAAGAACATGCTTTCACAAGGAGCACCGCACTCCTCAGCGCCCATGAAACTGTAATCCAAATAAGCCGGGACGAGGAGTTGTTCGGGGCAGGTAAATGGATGGACGACGTAGTCCGACGTCGGTGTAACGCTTCGGTTATCTGGTTTTTGCGTCGGCATTTGCGTCGGCACGGAGCGATTTTGTCCAACACATAATACACCAGGTTCCTGTTGTGGAAATATGGAACAATCCAGACGTTCTGGCCACTGGAAACCGAAACGATTCATGAGCGATTCGCAGCCGGTACGTGCACTCTGGCACAGAGAACGGCACGGAGGCAGTGGTGTTTCCAGTACAGTGCACACAGGCGCGTACATAGCACATAGGAAAAATTTCAAATCAACCGAACACTCTACCTTAACAAGCGGGAAAAACTGGTGTACTTCGAGTCCGGCTTCTTCTTGCTTTTGGTGATTCAGTAAATTTGGCATAATCGTTTCGTTGTATTGAATGTCTTGACATAAAGGTATTGTAATCGGCTCACAGCGGCCATGATCATGCAGTCCGGCGCCCATCTCATATTGGTGCTGACTAACAACAACATTCACAACCATAATCCACATGAACGCCCAAATACAGGGCAAATTCGATCCTTTACACGACGCCATGTCGATCGTTCCGATCACTGAAGTGTCCTTACTGGTCAAGTCATGAAGGAACGGTCACTGTCTTCCCGATAACGTTCGAAATGGTTGGATTTTGAACCGATTTTTAACACTCGACAGCACCTACCGAATTCGCTATCCACAGTAACACACTGTACATGTCTTTGTGTCACGGCGGTCTCCTCAAAAGTATCTACTGTTTCGAGGTCCTTTGATGTCCTTGGAAAGGTTTGTCCACAAAACTGGCATCAACGTCAAATGAAAGAGTTCACACAGGGTTTAGAAAGACATCGATATCACCAAAATGTCATAAACGAGCATTTTTTCACAGTAATAACTCGGTTTTTGCCGTAAAATTGCGAGCAACGCTATTTGGAGTACGCGAAACCTAGAAAGGGTTTCTAATTGCAGTTCATCCAATTGGCGGTGGAATTTTGTCACGTGACATGTTTCATGGCTTGCTATTGGTGAGGGCTCGGATAAATATCTTAATTAAGTGCTAATGGAAGAAATGCTCGCTGCTATTTCCTTTGCCTCCCTCCGGGGAAAAGTTATTTATAAATTATCGCTTTTAGAATCCCACAGAATAAAGAAATTAAAACACAAAATGTTTAGTTTTCATAGTCCAGGAGTAGAACTGACAGTGGACAACTATTTTTTTACAAGTTAAAAAAATAACAACTTGTAAACGGCATCAAAACATACTTTTCATGAGCGGGAATATTATATTACCGTCATAAGCAACAAAGCGCCGTAAACACATGGCTGACAAAATACGTAGTTCAGACAAAAAAAATCGTTACTCGAAGAAAAAGAAAAAAAAGAGAGAAGAAAAAAGAAAAAAAAGACATCACTTTTTCAAACCACGACAAGGGAAGCAACAGAATTAGGACAGCTTTACATGTGATAATGTCAATTTTTAACGCGATTATTCCGGACCCCATCTAACAAAAGGCCCAAACTAAAGACCGAAATTCAACACTAGCTATAGTCGTGATTGTGGTGTGTCGGGGTCTACTCTTACTTGTGTGTGCTATATTGTGAACGCATATCAAGTCCTTCGGCATTTAGCTGCGCAGTAACCATTGAGTGGAACCAGTGAGACGTGAAATTCGCCACCTTGAGGTCATTCCGTGTCACCTCACTGCTCCATAATTACTGTTAATTAATATGCATGAATGCAGGGTAATTAACACAATTATCTAATCGACGAATGAGATGACCGCGTCACCACCAGCACATACAACAGAAACCATGCACCTGGCGGCCGAAAGGATCGTTGTCATGGCAACTTGGGTCTCCTCAGACAGCTCGACGCGAGACGAACTTACTCCAGTGCCAGTAGTATGTTTTTTAGCATGGAGGGTTACTAAGTAGGGTGTATGCGTGGTGAAGTGGCTAGTTGTTTACTGTCCAGCCCATAACGGACACGCAAACAAGGGATTGGTAACCGCTCTCGTGCATTAAAACACACCCGAGAAATTAACAAACGCAATTGTTTAAAATGTTTTCAACTTCACATCGCATCGGGCAATTTTATTCCCGTCGACGTAAACGTAAAACCGCGTGTGAGATATCAGAGGCTTTAATATTTCGCAGTTATTGGAACCCTGTATTTGAATTTACATTTTCAACTTTCATGTTCCGGCCCGTTCTTCATCCTCCTCATCATCATCATCACCCATTCCTTTCTTCGCGTTCCACAAATACTGTACCGAATCAATAAAACACTTTTAACCATGTTTACAGTCCGAGCGTCGGAGTTCATGTGATTTATCCGCACTGAAACTATTCATGGTTGGAACATGTAAATAAACCCGCCTGTCTTCCCCATAATTCAGTAAAAAAAAGGGATCATAATGAAAGTCAGCTGCCGGTGGAAAACTAAAACTTTATGACAAAAATAAGAGCATGCATGGGAAATCACTGTCCTATTCAATAAATCACACGCCATCGCGTTTATATGTTGTTATATGTACGCACATTATTAAAAACTAATACCCCTGGAAACTTATCTATTCGACCATATATCCCCTTCTCTTGGGTCTACAACCCGACCTGCATGGTTTCAAAATAACGTTGACGTGAAAATCCACCAAGACCAGACCTCTAAAGTTTCAGGTGTCACGTGCCGATTTTGTCTACAGGATGGATGCATGTGATATACAGGGGAAAAAAACTTAATGAATCTAAATAAACCTGTCCCATGTGGATCTGGCACCGGACAAAACAAGGCCGTGGAAGAGCCAAGTTATTTGTTGGAACTTTGCATGTATGAGTGGCCGTATCATGGTAACCCTATTGTGAACAACTCATTGAAATAGGATTAACTTTTTCCAATAGTTATATGTTGAAAACAGTGCAGGACTACAGTGTTCGCCACTAATAAAGGCGCCCCACGCCGATTCATAATGAAGACCTGACGATGTACCCCTCGAAAAACAACAAAAACACAATTTCGAGAACGGCATCTTCCTTTAATCTAAAAGTGAATGGATTTTCACACCAAAAGAATGATACTACACCGACTTTCCGTTTTGTGGCGCAACTTTTTTTAGGGTGCTGAGGTAGTACTTAATAATAAAGTGAAACGTCTTTTAGAACAGTGCGGCGGCAAGTCAAGTCGAATTCCATTACGGGTATCTTATTAATAAGAGTGTCCGAATGCTCTTCAGCTGGCAATCATTCCGTTAAAGACAACACGCCGTGGTCATAGGAGGTGGCGATTGTATTTCACCACTGGTATTCTGTGCAGTGCTACTTGAATGAGTTATTTGGATTCTAGAAATCGTACCCGATGTGGCGACATTACACTGCGGCGTGTGTATTCTGTTCATATGACGGGAGAGTGTTAACCCTCCCGCCCATCAAAGTAAATTTATCGGCAACTTTATAATCCCACATAATTGTATTATACCCCTTCCTCCAAAACACAAACAATAATAATAATAAAAACAAAACAGATGAAAACGTGTAGGCAATTGGAAATTAGAAAGATTTGCCCCCCCCAAAAGAAAGACGTTTTTTTTTTAGAAATACATACAAAAGCGCAAATTGTTGCACCGTACTTGTTCACGGGAAAAGTAAGGCGTAAACTGTTAATGTCGGATTGTGCCATATTTATGGTAACCATGTGTTTCTATGAATAAGAATAAAACACGATTTATAAATAAAATAGTATCTATATATAACTTAAGTACGTGTTGTGGAAAGTTGATTGATTCATTAGCGTAAATCGCACGCAACCCAAAACAGTGAAAAGTATGGGAATAGTGAATAGTGAAAAGTATGGGAACAAGAATGAAACTTTGCAGAGTGATGGAACAAACGATAACCAATTATAATATAGCATATATTTATCTTTCGTAGGTATGCAAAGCTAAGATAATGTTATCAACAAATGAAAAAATATACAATGCTTTGAATGAATGAATGCATGAATGAACGAACGAACGAACGAAAGGAAGATAGCATATTAGTACTTGTTTTCGTACACACCTGGTATTCCAAATAAAACTTAAACAGATCGTTGAGGGCGTTATTCCAAATTTGATTGTGCTGGTACATGTATTTCGGGTGCTGTCGAGAAGAGAACGAACGGCAACATACTGTTCGCTAATTTTAACCACGTGCACGTGTCAACGGTCAATCGACACTGTGTTGTCAATAATTAATTGCATTTGGCTTAGCAGGAACCACTGCCAAGAACACGTAAAAAAAGATGTGAAATGTTTCCACATGTACATACATTCATTTCTTGCATAAAATATTAGATTGAGCCACAGTCTCTCTATAGACTAAGGGAATGTGGTTGAGCACTCAACATCTGTCCGGGACTCCTATGCCGTTAAAGGGCGGTGGTCGTCGGCCACGTCCCGTTCGATGCGGGACTCATAGCGACGTATACAACACGCGTAAGATGCATTTTTTTTACGTGAAATTCGAACACGGCAGACGCCAGTTACTGTTTCTCAACATTGGTGCTTTTGCACTATTATGTGACAACATAACCACTAGCCGTATACCAATCTCAGCTCTAATTAAATGGTTCGTGCGGGAATAGTATACTTTTACATCAGACAAGTGAAGTTGATACTTTCTGACACCAAATTTATTTTATTCGTTAAGAAGCTACTAGTATTGAATGATATACCATCTGAATAAAGTCAAGTTATTTTCTAGAAAAAGAAGACATTTAAAATGTAATATGGACGAGAACATATTGAATTATGATTCATCATGAACTTGAAAGGTCAAAGAAACACATTCTCTAATACAGGTGTGCACGGGTTTTATTTGTACATACAACAATTTCTGCAACATGCGTATTAGTGTTTTTCATCGAACTCATACCGTTGCGCGAGCTGCAAAAGTACAATTTGTTGGTTTGCACTATATATCATAATCTAATTAGGTTCCCAACAAGCCGTACCAAACAACAATATTAAAAAAATAAATAAATAATGTTTTCGTCCATATTATGCCATTTTTTATAGCTGGGTTCGAAATTAGTGGTAGTCTGGCGTCCAAAAGCCACCAGTTTTCTATTATTGACCCGCCAGATCCAAAAGTCAGTGGTCATTTCAACCACCGGTTTCTCTCCACAAATAACAGAGCACTTACACACATTTATTTTCAAACTGGTCTGACAAATATAAAATGTAAACGATGTCGCAACTTTTACGACTGAACTTATAACAGTTGAGTACATTCCAGTTTCAATGCACAACTACAGGACTGTATGAATAATATGTGAGAAACCAAGAATGAAAGCAACTGAGTGGATATTTATGAAATAATGGTTAGTATATACGTTTTTTTTAATAATTTTATTCATCATCACAAATTTGCAACATTTTATCAGACCATGTATAACTATTCTAAACATTCCAAATAATAATTCTATGAACAGTATTATGTAAAATCATGAACTATTGTCCATGACATCATGAAATAACATTCTTGCTTATGCTCACGGATACGTTACATAAGATCGTCGTTTGGTTGTCTTACAGTTAAATTCTGTGGCTTTGTTTATGATTGAGTTAAGCTGAGATCGAAAGAATTTCACATTTTGCTCTGTTTTTTTTGTTTTTTTTAAATAACTCACTGTTCGGTGACTGTTTTACCTTCTCTCCTGTTACAAATTCATGAATATATTACCTTGCCCGTATGTGTATAAAATGTTGTGTTCTTGGGGGGGGGGGGATCTGCTGATGAGCATTTTAGGGGGTTGTGCACTGACCGAAGATATAGTAGTCTACGACTTGTTTGTTTGTTCATGGTATTATCACGCTGGAGAAGTCTCACGACAGAGACGGTATCTAGCCTATTTTAAAGCGCGAGAGTCCTCACGTAGAAAGGACGCCGACCTGTAGACT